CGTTCAATCGTCGAATAGTTGGTAGATTCACAATACGCAAGGAAGGAAAAGAAGAAACGCCATTGGGATTCATGTAGCGAAAAACAACAATAGTTTGGAGTGAATTTAATTATTTCTTAGGGATAGTATTGATTCTAGTTCCTACAATAAGTAATATATAATTATAGGCTATGCAAGGCTCTAGTGGCTACGAAGAACATGGCCGGTACAACTTTTCCCGAGGGAGCTTTGTACGCTATGCAAACTACATAAAATTTCTAAACGTTAATGTGTTTTTATGTGTGTGAATTTATATAAAGATATAAAAAATTCGGGCATATGAATAAGATTATGGTTGCTCGAGAGAGATCACTAGCTACATTAGATTAATTTGATTGATGACACGTATGAAAAGGGATGAATGAATTGAAATTAGATGAACATTAAATGACCTAACTAAAATCGAAAATCCTAACTACCTAATCTCATAATCTTCCTAATCGTGTTAATTTGATTTAGTAAAACTTAAGTTACAAAACACAATTTGATTTTATAATAGATTACCATTTTAAGTTAAATTGAAACTAAGTTACTTTAAAATTGATAGTAGATAATGGTATTTGTGTGATGATATTTGGATTTGATAATTCCAGTTTATTATTTGTCACGTTCCGTACACTTGGGTTTATTTTCTTCCATTTATTTATTTGATTGATATTTTTTATTTTGTTTTTGTTTTTGTAGAGATAAGCTAGTGAAAGTGAGAAGTTGGGGGTACCAATTTCATGTATTCTTTTCACTTGAGTCAACTTGTCCACGCTTTCTTAAAGGCATCAAGATGTGGGTACAATGTATTTATTTGAAAAAATTGTCGCAGTGAACTCAAACCTTTGGTTTTTTTTTTTTTTTTTGCAGATTTTATCTTAATCTTCACTTTATGCCAGCAGAAGTCCCAAACCTTTGAGAAATTACCAGCTGGAGTCCAAATCATCCATTTGACCGTTAATTGACTAAGAAAGGTTAAATTTGACCAATTTTGACCAAATTAAAAGGGGTAAAATGATAAGTTTAAAATTTCATGTATAAAGTTATAATAATTAAATAAAAAGAAAAAAAGAGAAAAAAGAAATACAGAAATGGAAGAACTCACCCCATTTCCACGCCACTTACCCCCACCCAAAAACCAAACCAAACCAAACCCATCCCACCCACTTGCTACCGTCGCTGAAAAATGCGTCCAACCAAATTTTATTTTTTTTAGCAATTTTATGTGTACCTGTGTGGATCTATCTGTATTTATATGCATTTGTATGTATATATTGTATGGATCCGTATGTATTTGTATAAATATGCATGTATTTTTTTTTTTTTGGTTTCATTTCAAATTTTTTTTTTGAATCAATCTGTATGTATTTGTTGTATACACCTATATGTGTCTATGATAAAATCAAGGAAGAAAGCTGAAATGGAGCTGAATTTATTGAACAAAAATAACAGAGAACTAAAACAATAGAGAAAATGAAGAGGAACCGGGATAAAGCCTGCTGAATTACAGCAGGGAAGAAGATGAATTATCATTCTACTTACTTCAGAATTACAATGCATAAGAACTCTATTTATAGAAGAAAAAGCTAACCAATTATCTAACTAACTAACAAGATAACAAACTTAAGAAGATACTAGAATAAACTAGAATCTGAAGCTGGAAGAAGTGGAACTGAACACGTGAACTGGTGAACTGAAGGTGAGCTGGAACGTGTTCTGGTAAGCTGGTGAAGCTGCTGCCTGGAGGTGATCTGCTGTGCTACTGCAAGGA